AAGTATTTAATTTTGGGGGGAGCTAATGTGAATGGTAGTATGTTTTTAATTTCAAATTCCAATTGTTCATTCCTGGTATATAGGAATGCCATTGACTTTTGTTCTGATATTCTTTTCTTTTCTTTTCTTTTCTTTTTTTTTAAGTATTTTAAGAATCACACACAGAATCTTGATCCATCCACTTTTGGCAAGTTTAGTTTTGAGTCTAATTATTTTGAATTATCTCTTTTCCCCTTCATTTCTGTTGGTTTTTACTTAAGGTATTTTGGAACTCTGATGTTAGGTGCATATTTTTTATTGTTATGTGTTCTTGGTGGATTGACCCTTTTATCATTCTGAAGTGTCCCTCTTTATCTTTAGTAACCTTTGTTTTGATTTTTTTTTTATATTACTGTAGCCACTCTCTCTTTTGTGATTGTTTTCGTGGTAAATCTTTTTTTCATCCTTCTACTTTCAACCTGTTTGTATTTTCAGCCTAAAGTATGTCTCCTGTAGACAGTATGTAGTTGAATCTTGTTTTTCATGTAGTCTAACTGCCTTTGATTTTATCATTTAATTCATTTACATTAAGTGCTAGTGATATGTTTGGATTTATATCTGCTGTTTAGCTTTTTATTTTCTGTATGTCTCATGTTTTTTGTTCCTTTAGTCCTTATATTGCCACCTTTTGTACTAAGTGCATATCTTTCTCTCATATCATTTTAATTCTAATGATTTCTAAAATTATAATTCTTGAGTTATTTTCTAGGGCTTACAATATGCATCTTAACTTATCAGAACCTGCTTCAGATTCACTAGGAATTAGTTCCAGTGAAATATAGAAACTTTATGCCTATATAGCTCTATTTCCTACTCCCCTTTTAATGTTATTATTGTTGCACATATGTCTATATCTGTTATATACCCAGTAATATACTGTTATAGTTAATACTTTTATCATACGTCTTTTGAGGAATCTTAGAGAAGGGAGAATGACAAGTAGCTATTGGTAGAATTTATCATGTTATAATCTTCTTTTGTCCCCTTTTTTGTACTCTTCATTTTTCCCCTTCTTTTGAGTTTTCATCTGGTGTCATTTCCTTACTCCAATACAGGTCTGTTTCTGTTGACCTCCTTTGTGTGGTTGTTGTCAAATATATTTCTATATGTTATAGGCCCCAAAGTACAATTAGATATATATTGTTTCATACAATTGCTTTTTAGATGATTGAAGGGAAGAAAGGAGGAGAAATATGCAATTATACTATCTTTTGCAATTGCCTGCAAATTTGCTTTGATTCTTTGTTATTTTGCATAAATTTGAATTACTCTCTAGAGTCACTTGCTTTCATCCTGAAGACATTCCCTTCGTATTTCCTGTAAAACAGGTTTGTTATCGAGCAATTTTTTTTAATCTGGGGATTGAAAGTTTTTTTAAAAATTTTAATTGTGGACATATACAAAATTTACCATCTTAACCATTTTAAAGTATACAGTTTAATAATGATAAATACATTAACATTTTTGTGCAGCTAATGTCCAGAACTCTTTTCATCTTGCAAAACTGAAACTCTGTTAAGCAACTCCCCGTTCTCCCTCACCCTAGCCCAGCAATCACCATTCTACTTTCTGTTTCTATGAATTTGATTGCTCTGGATACCTCATTTAAGTGGAATCATGTGGAATCATACAGTATTTGTCTTTTGTGCCTGGCTTATTTCACTTAGCTTAATGTCCTCAAGGTTCTTCCGTGTTGTAGCGTGTGACAATATTAGTTTCCTTTTTAAGGCTGAATAATTTTCCATTGTATGTATGTATCATACTTTTTTGGCCCTTTATCAGTTGATAAGACAGTTGGGTTGCTTCTACCTATTGGCTATTGTGAATAGTGGTGCTGTGAACATGAGTTTGCAAATATCTCTTTGAGAGCTTGCCTTCAGTTCTTTTGGATATATATCCAGAAGTGGAATTGCTGGATCATATGGTAGTTATACTTTTAGTTTTCTGAGGACCTCCCTACTGTTTCCCATAGTGGTTGCATCATTTTGTAGTCCACCAGCATTACATAAGAGTTCCAGTTTCTCCACATCCTTGCCAACATTTGTTATTTTCTCTTTTTTTGATAGTAGCCATCTTTGATGAGTGTGAGGTGATGGCTCATTGTAGTTTTGATTTGCATTTCTCTAATGATTAGTGATGTTGAGCATCTTTTCATGTGCCTATTGGCCATTTGTATATGTTTGGAGAAATGTCTCTGCAAGTTCTTTGCCCATTTGTTAAATTTTTTTTTTTTTGGAGTTTTAGGAGTTCTTTATATAGTCTGGATATTAATCTTTTATCAGATATATGATTTGCAGATACTTTCTCCCATTCTATGGATTACCTCTTTACTATTTTGGTGGTGTCTTTTTACGTACAGAGGTTTGTTTTAATTAATTTTAATTTTAATTAATTTGTTTTAATTTTTTATTACCTTTTTTCTTAGTCAGTCTAGCTATGGGGTTGTCACTTTTGTTGATCTTCTAAAAAAAAAAAAGCTACTTTTAGCTTCACTGATTTTTTTTTTTCTGTTGACTACTTATTTATCTGTGCTCTAATCTTTATTATTTCCTTCTTTTCCTGCTTTAGGATTAGTTCTTCTTTTAGTTTCTTGAGGTACAAGTTAGGTTGTTGACCTGAGATCTTGCCTTTTTAAAATATATGCATTTACTTGTTTCTTAGTACTGCTTTCACTGCATCCTTAAGTTTGGTATTTTGTGTTTTCATTTTCATTTGTGTGAAGGTATTTTCTAATTTCCTTTGTGACTTCTTGTCTGACCCATTGATTTGGTAAGAGTGTAGTGTTTAATTTCCATATACTGTGAAATGTCTAGGTTTTCTTGTGCTGTTTATTTCTAGTGATTGGAAAATACTTTGTGTATTATGTATATATTTGTTTTCCTGAATTTATTCAGACTTGTTTTGTGGCTAAATGTGTTGTATCCCAAAGAAGGCTCCATATGTACTTGACAAAATGTGTTCTGTTATTGGTGGAGTGTTCTTTATATATCTGTTAGGTATGATTGGTCTGTAGTGTTGTTCAGTTTCGCTGTTTCCTTGTTCTTCTGTCTGGTTGTTCTAGGCATTGTTGAAAGTGGGGTTTTGTGTTGTTGTGTATTTCTCCCTTCAGATCTTTCAACATCTGCCTCATTAATTTAGGCGCTCTGGAATTTGGTGCATAAATATTTATACTTTTTATATCTTCTTGGTTAATTGGCCCTATTTTCATTACATGATGCCCTTCTTTGTTGCTTGTAAGACTTTCAGTTTAAAGTCCATTTTGTCTGAAATTAGTATCACCACTCCTGTGCTCTTTTGGTTACTTTTTGGGTGAAATATGATTTTCCATCCTTTTACTTTCAACCTCTTTGTGTTTAGATCTTAAATGTTTCTTTGATAGACAGCATATAGTTGGAAGACCACTAACTTTTAATGTTAAAAACTGACTCAGGGGAAGACTCTGAAACTGTTTAATTATGCCAAACGGCATTTAATCTCAAATCAGAAAGTTGCTGATGACATTTGCTTAGTTTTGAAGCACTCATCTTAAGAACCCTCCTTTAAGTGTTTGGTTATACCACAGTCCAGAGGCAGGAACAGTGACCAAGCATATGGCAATGTAGTGGCAATTAGTTTCTCAATGAAGGTAGGTAATAAAAGTAAGAAGTCCTGGGAAATGTGTATTTTTTAATAAGAACTTTTCTTTCAACATTAATTTTAACTTTGAGGTTTTTTTTTTCCTTTTAGCTGATAAAAGTGAGGTGTGTGTTCTTTTTTGTCACACATTGGGATAGTTGTCAAAGTGCTAGTTTCTTAATATTGTATTATTAGTGTTCTACAAATATCCTAATGAATTGAACTTTCTAATTATAAGCTGTTGTGAATCACTTGTTTTCAAAGGCAGGACCCTGTGCTCTACACCCAGCATTATTTGGTTGCAGTGAATAGCCATTTTGAACATTCATTTTGGCATTCTTCTTTCCTGGAGGGCTCAAAGAAGACTAACTGTGCCAAAACATTGGCTGTATTGTATTTATTTAGGGATTTCAGGTTGCCACAGTGAATTTGCAAAATGCCTTTCTTTGCTCTTTATTCTTTGTCCATTGAAAATGTCATTGAAGCAAGGTGGGTGTGCCCCATAGTGCTCTACCTTTTCAGAAAAACCTCTTGGACGAGTTGACACCATAGAAATCTCTTCAGTTATTGAATAGATTTTAAATTAATCTGGCCTTTCTATGATCAAAAGCACATTGTTGAAAGTACTCTGTAAAAATGTTTTGTTAGTGTAGTAACAGTTTTAATTCTGGAAAAAATCTTATGACCTTGGATTTCCTTCAGAGCCTCATTCACTTTTGTGGTTTTGTTAGCATTCATCTTCTCTTGACTCCTAACTGCCTGTTTTACTTTTAATAACCTCTTCTTTTTTTATGGAGATGGTGTCTTTTCTTTTTAAATCTCTTTGAGGATCTGAGATATTCTTATTTTAAAGTATTTTGAAAGTATAGTTTATAATCTCATTTTTAGCAGCAGTGTTATTTTGTTTTGTCTTTTGGTGCAGCCTTCTCTACCTGGTGTTTCTGTGGTTGTCTCTTTGTGTGTCTCTCTTGCCCTTTGTGGCTGCTTCTTTAGAAGGAGATCTTACATTGGAAGCTTTCGGTTCTTACTCTCCAGGGTTATTGGGGAAAATCTCTAGAACCAGTCGGTGTTTGACCTAAGTCATTTGTTTGATTGCCTCTGATTTTTTTCTTGTGCATTGCTTCAGCCTTGTGCAGTAGTCACAGCTTTTATTGCCTTCTTTCATGATGGGTGGCCCTGTCTCAACCTCGGATTTCATAAAATATGTCTGACACTTGTTCTCACTCTCCATGCTGTGAGATGATTTTGGTTCCTATTATTAAGGTTAATTTCTTAGGTCTCTCAAACAATAAGATTTCAAAACAGGTAACTTGCTTGTTTCTGTTTGCTTCTTTTACCTCTGAAAGTATTGGAGGTTAAGGAACTGCTGTGGTTTGTTGGAATGTGTCGAGTCCTTACCAGGTAACCTTAAATCCCTGTTTCTTTATTTTTAAGTGAAGATAATAATTTGGACAGTGATTGTGAAGTTGAAATGTTATTATATTTGTGAAAGTGTTTTATAAACTGAGAAACATAATCTAAATGTTAGATTTTGTTTACTATTGTTTAGCCATAGGGAATGTGTTACTACTTCATTTAAATCTGGTTTTGATTTTCAGGTTGTTCCATTGACCCGTCATGTATGGCAACAGCCGTTATATCAAGACAATAGCGGAACACAGATTTCTGATACTAACATGGGCTCTTTGAAAAAAACAGCTCAGTGGGGTTCTGGGGATGATCAGGTATGTCTTGTGTAACTGCAAGCTATCTTTTGATAAGCAGCATGGATAATTATGATTTAACTATGAAGAATGGAAAGAGGTGAACTACTTTAATGTTTCATTTTTCTCATAGATCTTTGGCAGCCTTAATTATATAAAACAGCAGTTTGCTTTTTCTTCTCTTTTTTTTTTGGTCTTAGGACCCCTTTATAGACTTCAAAAGTATTTCAAAGAGGTTTTATTTATAAGGTTTATCTATATCAATATTTTGCTTACTAAAAAGTAAATATTTAAAAAATAACAAACCCATTACATAGTAACATAAAAATATACTTTAAAATGAAAAGTGACTTTTTTAAAACAAAAAAAAAATAGTTGAAACAGTGGCATTGTTTAACATTTTTGCCTGTGTCTTTAATGTCAGGCTTAGTAGAAGACAGTTGATGTACTGCACAGGGTACTCCAGAAAAATAGAACTAATAGGAAACATATACATACATAAATATATATGCACAAATATACATATTATAAGGAATTGGTTTGTGTAATTATGGAAGCTGAGAATTCTTGAGATCTGTAAGCTAGAGACCCAAGAGAGCTGATAGTATATTTCCAGTGTGAATCTGAAGGCCTGAGAACCAGCAGTCAACTGATGGTATATGTTCCAGCCCAAGTCTGAAGGTCCGAGGACCAGGCCAGTTGGTGGTGTAAGTTCCACTTCAAGTCTGAGTCCAAACGCAGGAGAAGACTGATGTCTCAGCTCAGACCAGATAGAGCAAATTCTCTCTTGCTCAGCCTTTTGTTATATTCAGGCCTTTCATGGATTGGATGAGGCCTGCCCACATTGGGAAGGGCAATCTGCTTTACTGGGTCTATGGACAAATGTTTATATAATCCAGACACCCCTTCACAGATGGACCCAGAATGTTTAACCAAATATCTGGGCACCCTATGGCCCAGCCAAATTGATATATAAAATTAGCATAAATTATCATAACTGAATTCTTACATCTGCTTCTGCATTTAGTCCACTGGGATGTATTGTTTTGGTTTAAGTATGTGAAGAAATTCTGGCCTTACATAGATACATTGTTAGAAAAGGGAGGCCCACTGAAAGGGTGTTAGTATTCCCAGGGATCTTCAGACCACACTTTGGGAACCACTGACCTAAAACATAGTAATAACCTCAGAAGAAATGGAAAAATTGTGAACAGATAGAAAAAAAAAAACTCATATATGTTTGTTGGAGGAAAAATGCAGCCTTACCTTAAATATTTAAGGTTGATTACTAATAATTTGGCTATTAGATTTCTTCTAGTACCTTCAATTTCCCCTAAATTGCAGTTACTATCCAATAGATGCAAGATATGGAGGAAGAAGTTCTACTGTTGCCAAGAGAAAGGTGTTAAGAGAAGCCCTGACCAGAAAAAGCACAGTACTCTGTGACCATTAAATCGAAGGGGGATTTTTATTGTCCCCCAGAATGATGTGTTGAAGTTCTAATCCCCAGTACCTCAGAATGTGACCTCATTTGGAAACAGTGATTGTAGATACGATTATTTAAATTAAGATGAGATCATACTAGAGTAGAGTGGGCCCTTAATTCAACATGACTGGTATCCTTAGAAGAGAGACACACAGGAAGAGGTCAGCCGTGTGAAGACAGAGGCAGAGATTGGAGCTAGGCTGTCATAAACCAGAGAATGCCTGGGGCTACCAGAAGATAGAAGAGGTAAGGAAGGATCCTCCCATAGAGGCTTTGGATGGAGCATGGCCCTGCCATCACCTTGATTTTGGACTTCTAGCCTTCAAAACCGCGAGAGAAGAAATTTCTGTCGTTTTAAGCTCCCCAGTTTGTGCACCTTCATAATGGCAGCCCTAGGAAATGAATACAGAGGTAATCCCTAAATAGTTTAAAATTCTCTGAGGGCTTGTTTATGGTAGAGCACAGTCCAAAAATAGATGTCTCCCTTTTGTCCCTTTATTATAAAATAGAAACCATGGATGGATCCTGTAGCCTTTCACTTCTGCCTTTATTCCTGAGTTCCTCAGAATAGGTGGAGCATTATGTTACTTCCTAATTCTCTCCCCTCTTTTCTCCTGGTCATTCTGCTCCTTCATCCTTGTTGCTGGCATCCAGATTACCTCCATTTTATTTACTGAAAACTATAGCTCTTGCTGCACTGTCCTCTTTTAATTTCTTTCACTTTAGCTAACATTACCTATCCAGCATCTGAAACTCTTGGATCTTTGATCTAACCTGCAGAGATCTTTCCTCCACTCCTCCCAATTTTCTCCTACTCATTCTTGGTCACAGTCTAGAACTTATCATCTCTAGCAACTTGAATACTAATGTGTCATCTTCTCTTCTCCTCCAGCTATGGCCCCATTTAATATTTTGCTCCCAATTAAGTGAAATTTTCAGGAGTTTTCAGTCTCCATTTTCTGATATTTTTAACTCATTTTTTAAAAAGTTGGGTTTTTGAGGTATGATTTAAATACAGCCAAATTCACTCTTTTAGATACACATTTTGATGAGCTTTGACAAATATATACAGTTTTAAGACTAGTACACATTTGATTACCATCACCCCCTCCCCCAGATTTCCTTGTGCCCCTTTGTAGTCAGTTTTCTCTCTCTTCCTTAGTCCCTGGCAACCACTGATTTGATTTTTGTCCCAATAGTTTTGCCTTTCAGAATTATGGTGTGTTGACTCCTGAATCTGGCTTCTTTAACTTCACACATGCTTTTGAGATTCAGACATGTTGCATGAATCAATAGTATGTTCTTTTAAATTTCTTTTATTGCTGAGCAGTATTTCACTTATTTACAAGTTTTTAAGTAGACAGATGGTTTCATTTTTTTTGGGTAAATACCTAGGAGTGGGACTGCTGGCTGATATAGTAACTGTATGTTTAACATTATAAGAAAGTGCCAAACTGTTTTCCAAAGTGGCTCTACCATTTTGCATTCCCCACAGTGTATAAGAGTTCTAGTTGCTTTGCATTCTTGCCAGAGCTTGGTATTGCCAGTTTTTTGGGGTTTTGTTTTAAAAATTTTAGTCATTTTAGATATATTAAGGTGTCTCATTGTGGTTTTGTTGTTTTTTCGGGGGGGGTGGGGGTGGGAAAGGTTGGTTGGTTTGTTTGTTTGCTTGTTTTAATTTTTAGAGGAAGTATTGGGGATTGAACCCAGGACCTCCTCCATACTAAGTACGTACTCTACCACTTGAGCTACCTCCTCCTCCCTTTCATTGTGGTTTTAATGTGCATTTTCCTAATGATTAATGATCATGTGCATCTTTTAGTGTGCTTGTTTGCCATCCGTGTTTCTTCTTTAGTGAAAGGTTGGTTTAAATCTCTTTTCCATTTTTTTTTACCTTTATTGTGCTATACTTGTACAGTAAACTACACATTTGAGTGTTTTGAAATGTTGGAATGTTTTGGTTCCCATCTAGATCAAGGGTTTTAAATATATCTGTACAATTAAAAATTCCAAATATGTATCTCCGAGCTTTACTTCTCCCTCAGAATTTGTTTTTATTTATTCAGTCATTTATTTGTCATCCCTATTCACGTCTGTCAAAAATATTTAGAGATTTGAGGGCATTTTTATATTGGTTAAAAAAGATATCACACAAGGAATCCTTGTGTGAAAGAAACAGCAACAAAATAAGCAGAAAAGGATGGTCAACAGAGATTTTAAAAAATTTTATTTTATGTTGGGAAATTTTAAGAGTATGTTTTGTATGGGGAGAGGAATAATTCAGTAGAAAGGGAAACTGCATGGAGGAAAAGCAGGAGAATCACAAATAGGAAGGAAGTCATTGGAAAAAAATAGAATGAGATGGGAAGGCCTTTGACAGGTAGAGAGATTTTTTTTTTTTAAGTCACAAGATGAGAATCTGGGTAGATAATGGGGTTGTAGATCTTCTGATAAGGAAGTACCATCTCCTGCTGTTCACCTACTAACGGAGGAATGAGGTCTTCAGTTGAAAATGAGGGAGGAAACTTCAGTAGTTCTGAGGAGAGAAGGTATAAATTAATCATTTTAGCCTGTCAACTTTCCAGGAAAGTATAGTAGGATTTCCGGGCAGGGCTGAGTGCCCTTAGGTTTAATGTCATTAGTCTAAAGGAAAACCAGTCTGGGTGTGTACTTTCTTCAGCAATGTGCTGCTGCTTGGATTCAGGCAAGAAGGTTCAACCAGATATTTTGCCAGGCAGATAGGATAGTGGGAGAAAAAGGTAAGAAAGTTAGAGATGTTTGCAAAGCTGTGACTGTAAGGATGACTATGAACTATCAGAGTGGTAAAGAGGGAAATACAGGTAAGGAAGGAATTAAGAAGAGTATAAATGTGATAGGATAGTTGCCTTCATAAGGTTATAAAATTGTTGCAGTTGAAGAGCTAGAGTTGAGTTAGTGATCTTTGGAGGTCAGAGTGTGGGCAGGAGAACACATGGTTATGTCTCTCATCAATAGTGAGGAATACATTTTGGGAACAGACTCAAACCGTGGTCAGAGGGACTGAGTGATGAGTAGGGGAACCCAAGATTTTACTGCAATGAGGGTCACAAGGTGAATGAAGTTCCCTTGTTTTAAAATCCATTCATTGGCCCACTATCCTGTATTTAAGAGTGCTCTCAGAAGAAAAAACTTAATATAATCATTCTTATATTTCTTTTATTTTCAAATATTAAAAAGTTCATGTTTCCAATAGCAATTCAATGTTACAGCTTTGACCAATTTATCTGACATTGAAGAGATTAATAAATTTTGGAGTGTCGAAGGTCTCCTGTTCTATAAGCCCACAAGCCATAGATGAGTAGTGTTAATATTTTAGAATATTCCTCTCCAATGTTTTTTCTCTGTATATATTTACATAAGGGATATTAAGTAGTGGATAGTTGTGTATCTTTTTTTTAAATTACTGCAAGAGCATTTGGATAATGAATTTTAAATACTAGAACTAACTCTTTGAAGACAAAAGTCTTGTTTTTTTGAAATGTTTTGTGAAAATGTGAAATCTTTCTAAATTGCAGTACATTTTCTTTTTATGGATAGTGGGTCATTTGGGAATGAAAGAGAAAAAACTATATTCTCTTTAAAAACATTTGAGTTGGTTAAGGAAGAAGAGTCCAGCAGTAGACTATTCACAAAATAATGAAAATCAATACATTATACAATCTAAGCATGTAGATTACTATCAATATGTCATCGTCTCATTTTTTTTATTAAAAAAATGTAAAGTCAAATGAATTCACTGTTTAACCAAAAATTTTAGCTAAATAATGAAAAGCTACAAGTAAAGATGGTTAAGAAAAAAACAATAAGTAGGTTAGAAAACATAATAAAATTGATTTCTATCTTGGATTTAACAATTTTATATAGAAACAATATATACATTCCTTATAAATCAGTCAAGAACAAAAAAAAACCATAAGGAAACAGACTTCTACAAACCTGTCAAAGCCTATAGAGGTAGACTAGAACTCCTAAGGAGGAAATCTAGAATGTTATAATAGTACTGGCTATCAGGACATTTTCTGAATCTAATGGATTCATTGATGAAATCTTTTATATATATATTTTTAATTGAAGCATAGTTGATTTACAATGTTTCATGTGTACAGGAAAGTGATGTCAGTTTTATATACATATACTTTTTCAGATTTTTTTCTATTATAGGTAATTACAAGATATTGAATATAGTTCCCTGTGCTATACAGTAGATCCTTGTTGGTTATCTATTTTATATATAATAGTTTGTATCTGTTAATCCCAAATTCCAGATTTATCGCTACCCACCCCATCCCCCTTTTGGTAACCATAGGTTTTTGTTCTGCATCTGTGAATCTGTTTCTGTTTTGTAAGTTCAGTGGTATCATTTTTTTAGATTTCACATACAAGCAATATCATATGATTATTGTTTTTCTGTGTCTGACTTCAGTTAGTATGGTAATCTCTAGGTCCATCCATGTTGCTGCCGATGGCATTTCATTCTTTTTTATGGGTGAGTAGTAGTCTGGTTTGTGTGTGTGTGTGTGTGTGTGTGTGTGTGTGTGTGTGTGTGTGTGTGTATCACATCTTCTTTATCCATTCATCTGTCAGTGAGCACTTAGGTTGCTTCCATGCTTTGGCTATTACAAAGAGTGCTGCTCTGAACATTGGTGTACATGTATCTTTTCAAATTAGAGTTTTCTCTGGGTATATGCCCAGGAGTGGGATTACTGGATCCTATGGTAGTTCTATTTTTAGTTTTTTAAGGAACCTCCATACTGTTCTCCATAGTAGCTGCACCAATTTACATTCCCAGCAGCAGTGTAGGAGGGTTCCTTTTTCTCCACACCCTCTCCAGCATTTATTATTTTTAGGCTTTTTAGTGATGGCCATTCTGACTGGTGTGAGGTGATATACCTCATTGTAGTTTTGATTTGCATTTTTCTGATAATTAGCCCTGTTGAGCATCTTTTCATGTGCCTATTAGCCTTCTGTATGTCTTCTTTGGAGAAATATCTACTTAGGTCTACTGCCCATACTTGGATTGGGTTATTTGTTTTTTTGTTACTGCATTGTATGAGCTGTTTGTATACTTTCGCAAATTAATCTCTTGCCTATCATTTACTTGTTACCTATTAATTTTTATTAATCTTTTAATGTCAGTCTGTGATGAACTGGAAGTAAGCAAAATTGATCCTTCCCATAGATATTTTGAGAAGCATTGTTCTGAATCATGCCTCTAATTTAAGAGTAGACATTTGAAAGAGACAAATTACCACTTACTTCTCATGAACTATATGATGTTATGTACAGAGAAGTCCACTAGAACCTAGGATAGCTAGTAAGAATTCAGTAAAGTAGTCATATGTAGAGAATATTGTAGCTTTAGGTTTGGAAAACTTTCTTCAGTTTTATTATATTATCAAATTGTAAGATTTCATCATGAAGAACCAAATTTATTATTTTAATAATGAGAAGCAAGTATTAAAGAACAGCAGAAACACCAGTGCTTCAACATGTTAACAGATGGGTAGCAATGGGAAAAGGTCTAAAATCTTACTAATACTGTGAAAAACCTGGAAAGAACAGCTTTACTTTCTCCAAATTCTGATAAGAATGCTGTGAAACAGGAAGCTATATGCTATATGAGTGCACATTTTTAATCTAAATGTTAATATGTGTGGTAACTCAGTTACTGATTTAGCATGTTTTCCTTCAAAATTACTGCCTTAGAGAACAGAATCTTGGCATCTTCTTCCTCAAGAAACGGATTCTTCCCACACCTTGGATACAACCCAGACCAGGTTTAGTGTGAGAGAGGAAGGGACTGAAGTGACAGACTTTCCCTCTCTTGAGGAAGGTACACTGACCCAATCAGAAAATCAAGTGAAGGAGCACGACAGAGATCTGCTATGTTCGCCATTGCTAGGTAATGCTTCTTTATCTTTAACTAATGGTAATACCTCACATTTGTAAATATTTCTGGGGGACTGCAAATCTTACATCTAAATCCTTTCTTGAGTTGAGTAGCTCTGTAGAACTGTACTCAAAGGTATTACCTTATTTCTAGTTTTCTACACTGGCCAGCTGGTCTAGTTATGTTAAATGTGCAGTTGTTTCTCATTTTATCACTCCCTGTTGCTCTCAGAAGGTACAAAGGTAATAACTCCCTCTCTAGTGGGTAGCTTCCTCGATCCTGAATTTTTGGAGTTTTTCTTGGGGTAAACCATATATTATCCTTTGACTACTTCTCTCAGCGGTGGATGCTCCATGATCTTTAAAAAAACAATCAAAAACATTGTTCATGCTTACCTCATTAGATTCTTAAAATTAGCTAAGACGTACATTATTATCCTAAGTTTTCAGACCCAAACATTGAGATGAAGAGGTTAAATGACTTGCTTGAAGTAGATCTTCCTTCTTTCTTCTGTTTAGTATGGAACTGATTGATGAGTTGTTTATGAAAGATAAACTAAGTATTTTGCAAATCATCATGGTAGGCGGTAGAATTGTTGTGGCACTACTTTGGATTATTGCGGATGTATAAGAATACTTAGTTGATATTTCAATTTCAGCTTTTTAATTCCTAAAGCATAATTCAGGCAAATATTATTTTGTTTTTCCTTCTAGTTTCTTCAAATGTTTATTTGCAAAACTTGAAGAAAATGCAACAACCACATATTCTAGAAATCACCTTTTTCAGGGGAATGGGATTACATGAATTTTCTTGTCAGAGTTTTATAGAGGAGCGTGAGTTAGGAGTTAATTCAACAAGTTCTTTCAAACACAAACAAATGCTATCCAAATAAAAATGTTAGTGTCAGTGTATTCAGTGATGCGGATCATCAAAGTCAACGTTAGTTTCATATTTTAAAAAAGATGTTGATAACATTAGGGTTCCTTTGTGGGAGGAGATAACTATGATGGTAGTTGAAAGAGAAGATTTTGCTATGATCAGTTGTTTGAAGGACTGTCATGCTAAAGAGGAAGCAACTTATTTTTCATTTGTTCATCTATTTAACAAATATCTAAGTGCCTGTTGTGTGTTTGACACTAGGGCTCTGTGGATGAAAGGTACTTCCTCTTTTGGGAAGACAATCCAGTAAAAAGAAAATAACAGTACCATGGGATGAGTATTATAATGGTCTGGAGCAGGAATCTGAAAACTACAGGCTAAGGCCTGATTTTGTACTGTCCCTCAGCTGAAAATGATTGCAGCATTTTTAAAGGATTGTAAGAACAAAGGAAAGGAGTATATGGAACAGAGACCATATATGATCAACAAAGCCTAAAACATTTACTAGCTGACCTTTCATAAAAAAGTTTGCTAATTCCTAGTCTGGTGGTTACAATAAGAATACATAACTTATAGGGAGGCTGTTTTCAACATGGTGTAAGAAAGAACTTTCTTATAGAGTCATTTAATAGTGGAAAGGCTGTATAGCAAAAAAAAATGAGCATTATGTCACAGCAAAATGTCAAGGAAAATTCTCTAATAGAATGATTTCAGCATTGGATCAGAGGTTGCCATGAGAATTAAATGAAATATTGTATGTTAAGTGCCTGGATCTACTAAATGGTAGTTGCTACTGCTGCTGTTATGTTATCATCATAATGCCTGTAGAAATTTCCAGATGGCAGCATATTTAGGACCTTTAAAATATTACATAAGCTAAACAATTTTCAGTGTTCCCAACATTTTTATATTTGAACCTTTGCAGTCATACAAGACAGTTTTGCTTCTCCTGATTTGCCTTTGTTGACATGTTTGACAAAAGATCCAGAGTTTGGGCCTGATTCCTTATTTCACCAAAGTGAACTAGACTTTGCACCTCTGAGGTAGGATGATTTAGTCTTCTATTTGCACGTAACCTTTCTACTCTTTCTTTTCTTGTTCTAAGTTGTTGCTAATATTAATGACTTCAGGTGAGACTTTGGGGTGAGAGTTGGATATTCTCAGCACATACTCTGAAGGTAACAAGGCCCTAAGACATGATGCGTATTAATTGGACATAGTAACATAAGTGTAATAATGAGCCAGGTGACTGTAGTTTGTTTAAAACGAATATATTCTAGCATTTTAGGCATATTTTAATTTAGAAGGCACACTGAATTTTTTTCCTTATATGTCTCCCCTTTTGCTGCCCATCAGCCCATTCCCGTTTTGTAAAAAGCATTCATTTCACGGTCACTGACTTGTTTGGCACTCTCATTGTTGTCACTTGATATCGAGTGACCCTAGTTACCTCCTTACGTTGTAGGAGAGGTGACTATGGAGTAACACTAGTTTTCTAATAGACATATCCAAATTAACAGTTATTCCAGATTAATGCCCTTTTGTCATAATGGGAGACAAGTCTGGAATTCTCCAAAGCATATTTGGAATTCTCCGAGAATATGTTTTCCTCTTTTAAAAAGAAAAAGACACCTTAAATTAAAAACTGTAAACACTTACAGAGTAAAAACCTCTGCCTTTATAGTATGTTTGCTTTAAAATTACTTTTATGAAAAGTCTTCTGTACGCAGTAGTCAACCAACGATGAGGTTTACTGTTTTGGAAATAGATCACTTCCTCACTGGTTTTCAAGAGCATAATAAATGACTAGTAAAAGAATTAATGCAGGTTAAGTGAATATTAAATTATGATAGATGATAAGTTAAACATTTTAAATAGTTTGAATTTTTTATTTAAAGAATTGTTTTTTGGCAATATTGTTTTGAGAGAAGCCTGAGAAAATATCAGAATCATAGGATGGTAGTTCACCCTCTTTTTACAAAAAATTTGCTTTGTTCACACAATAGCCACCCTAAAAGAATTTGAAATTAGGACTTTGTTTTTCAGCATACTTTTCAAATAACCCCGATTTCAGTGACATATCAGTCATATCAGTTTATATATTTTCATGTTAGTATTTTAAAAAATAAATGTTTTTAATGTGTTACTTACTTATTTTTAACTGTATGTTTTCAGGGAAATTCCTGGTAAGCCTGAAGACACTGAATGGTTTTCTCGACCATCGGAAGTTAGTGAAGCTTTATTCCAGGCAGCCTCAGATGTAGCTTCAGACTTAGGTAACAGTTGCTTTCGTGTATCTCAGCGCCCACTTACCCGTAGTACAGCTGTTGGGTCTCAGCACTCTTTTTTACCTCCTGAACAAGGGACTAAAGAAGAGATTGTCTCATCTAATACGCTTGATGAACTGAAAACCCCCAAAGACTCTGATAGTTATGATGCTTTTTGTTCATATATGTCATGGAAGACACAAGAAGTTATACAGGAGCCAGAAACCAATTTAGCTGATAAAGATCAAGTTTCTTTTTCAACTGCATCCGATACAAGTGATGAATACATAATTCCTAAAGGAAGTGACAGTTTTAATGCTTCTGGTTTATATGTGCAGTATTGGAAACAGGAAGCTTTACAACAGTCAGAAAAACATTTAACCAGTAAGGACTATGGTTCCTATTCAGATTCATCTGACACAATTGATCAAAATAAAACTCCTAAGGGAAGTGACAATCTTAGCGACCCTTTTTCATGTATGCCATGGAGCAAACAGGGAGCTTCACACCATCCAGAAATATGTGTAATGAGTAAGGACCATGTTTCTTTTCCACATGAAGTTGCTCCTCATTTTAATAATAAAGTGTCACATTCTTTCTTTCCTTGTTTGTTGGAAAGAGGAGGAAAAGGTGTTCCCTTAATGCCTGATAATCATAATTTTCAGAGTGTTTATTTGAGGGCTCCCACTGAGAATGAGGTGAAACAAAAAATGGATTCTTTGGAGGGTTATGAAAGAAATGAAGAAGATCTGGGGAAAGAATTATCGCAATGTTTTGAATTAAAGGAGACTGGAAATACTTTAGTATTTTCAGAGGTACATCCCAGATCTTCAGAAATACAGTATATTGAGAATGTTGTAGTTCCTGATCGTTCAGAAGAACGTATACTGTCCAGGGGGCATGATACCTCTAAGATGGAGGTTTCATGTGGTCCTCTTCAGACTGTTAAATCCAACTTGGATAAAACATCAGAACAGCTAAATTTTCAAGAAGAAAGAAATCAAGAGGCACCTTCTGCTTTTGGTGGGAAAAATGCTGCTGCTTCTGAAAGTGTAGCCTTTCAGGCAGTTATTGCCTCCATTGAGCCTTTTGAGAAGGTGAGTTCAGTAAATGATGTCCAAACTGACGTTGAAAGATTTTTAACAAATGACAGCCTAGAAAGTGAACCAGATAGTTCAGATCTTTCCCTATTAGATTATGCTGAAAATTCTTTCTTTGATAAACTTAATCACCCACGCTATCAGTCTACTCCTGGGGTGTTTGAACCAGCAGCTTCAAAATCACTGTTGTATAAAAAGGATGATGGTGATAGCTCCCTGTACTGGCATCCTAATTTAAAATCATTCCTGAATGCTCCTCAGGAAATAGTCATTAAGCCACTTTCTCTTATTCCAGAGTGTAAGTCATCTTCTTTAAGTGAAAAATCTCACGGACAGGCTTTTGGTCATGGCAAAACACAGTCAGCTTTATTTCAGTACGATACAGACAACGAGCCGTTTCTTCCCATTGGGAAGATAAAATCTGCTTCTGCTCTTGACCTTGCAGAGACGTTAGGATCTTCAGACATTATTTATCCAATGAAAGTATGGACTTCAGATTCTTTGGGTTTACAAGATTTAAAGCAGCAAACCTTTGAAGAAGTTGCAGATTCCTCAAGCTGTATCTTGGGTAAAAATGTAAATTCTAGTAACATCACTGAAAGTCCATCTGCAGCTGTAGGAAGCAGCTTTTCAGCAAACTTGGCGGTGTGTGATGCACAGTCACAGGGTGCTTTAGCAGCGATCAGTGATGCATCATCATTAATTGCAGTCGGCCAAGAGACATTGCTGAAAGCTGATGTAGGCCAAGGTGAAATCCCCCAGCCTGTGGGAGCCAAGTCCGTTTTTACTATACATACAATTATGCAAAATGACTCCTATTTTGTAGAGGGCCTGCAGGGGAAGGCTGAATCTGACATCTATACTCTGGATGATGATACTGAATGCTGTAGCCTAGATGAAAATGCTGTTGAATGCAGCGAAAGAGTTGCTGGACTACAAAGAGAGGTGAGACAATAAAAATGATAGTTGGGGGGAGGCAAGGTCTTTTCCAGTATTGTTTCAGGAAATGGTGTTGTTATTTGTTTTTACTGTACTTTTTACTATTCCCCAGATATGTGACCAAGGTGACTTGCGCGGTGAGTGCATTGAGCTAGCAGGTTTAGAGACTTTGCTTGATGATCTAGAGATTTGTGACAGCTCCCTGCACTGGCAGTCTACGGTACAGCTACCATCCAAGGAAGAGAGTGAATCTGAGGAGCCTGTAAGTTTTTCTGTTTGGTATTTCTTATGCGTTAGGGAAGGAAGTATTTTAGTTGAAAAATGAGAAAGTAAAGGATTATTTATATCCCTTAATACCAAGTTGTGAAGTGTAATCTAGTCTTCATCTGATATCCAGGGATATGCTACATTAATTTGTTAGAGGTCAGCCTAAAAGAAACGTGTCTCGTAGACCGTGAGACTTGGTGAGTTCTGTAGTGCTTTGGAAAAGGACACCCTTTGGAGCTCCCAGGCCTTTCATCCTGAGGCATCCTAACTCTTCCAAATTGTGCCATCAAGAACCTTCGGGGTGGTGTTAAGATAAGACTCACTTATGGAGGCATTCATTTGGGCTTTTTTTCCCTCTGGCCTTCAATGTACAGGCCTTGGAATCCCCTGAAATAATGCAGGTATTTCTTTTCAGAAGCTTCTGAAAGATTTGACTTCAGAGGTATCTTGAAGTTAAAATTTTCTTTTATACAAGGCTTCTTTTGCCTGGATCCTGGGATCCCTTGACTTTAATATTCTTCTGGTCCCATTGCCCATCCTGTTATGTCTGATACTTTCAGTTCCAACCTGGGTCCCACTTCTTGGTAATATATCTTTACATTCTGTTGTCATTAAATACAGTTAGACAATGTATGCGGTGTTCTTAATGTTACTTTCCTTTTCCTGTTTTCCCATGAATAAGATTTGTATGTTGTTGAAAAGCTACTAGTTTGGGTTGCAATTATATTTCGACCTTTAGGTTCAAGTAGTTAGAAAATGAACAAAGATAGTGTGATGAACTTTTCCTTTTTATTTACAGTTTATTGAACATATTAAAAATTTTTAATGTAGTGAACATTCTAGACAATGTTTAATTCTATTTTTCAATCTAATAACAGTGGGGGTGAAAATGAGAGCTAGCACTCTGTGCTCTGATGCTGAGAGGTTTACTCATTGTATGCCTCCGTTCATTTAGTCTTTTTGGCAGTCCTGTCAGGAGGCTCATTGGGAATTATTATCATCCCCATTTTACAATTGATACTTAGAGTTAAGGAAACTTGCTCATGATCATTTAGCAAGTAGAGGAAAGAGTACTTGAAACTAACCTTATCTGTATCCTTAACCATCACACCATAAACGTCCTATCTGTTTAACTGTTCTTCAGTGAAACCAAAGCCGAGATACTGCATTATTTTGGCAAGAGTGAAGGTTTTGAAGGAGATTGGTCAAAGTCAGTTTTAATAAGAATGAGAAACAAAGTATCAGTTTTAAAGTTAGAGTTTCTTTTTTTCTTACAGTTTTGTTGAGATATAATTGACATTGCACAGTAAAATTTTAAGGGATACAGCATAATGTTTTGACTTAACATACATCATGAAATGATTACTGCAGTAAGTTTTGTTAACATCTGTCATCTCATATAGATACAAAATTAAAGAAATAGGAAAAAAATTTTTTTCTTTGTGATGAAAACTCTTAAGATTTACTCTAAATAGCTTTTATGTATAACATACAGCAGTGTTAATCATATTTAAACTTACAAGTTTCTAATTTTTTGATAGTGTACTTTTGTAAGTTACCTCAGCTTTTCATATATATAAAATGTATTGAAAGGAATGAAGATATATATTCTGTTAATAGTGATGTGTTGAGAGATGAACTCTGACACATTTCCAAATTTTATTTGCCCTTAACTGTAGCTTTAAGGATATTTTTCAGTTCAGGGAGGATGAAGTTCTCTATATTGTCTCTCACTCTTAGCTCTGGTCTATTGTCTGGTAGTGATGTAATGCTGTTATTAGGGAAGCAAGGAGCCAGATATGGCAGTCATCTTCCTGCATGGCTCAGCTTGATCTCACGAGGCTTGCCTACTCTTTGGTTTCTTCCTTATTCTCATCTGTGTCTCTGAAGAGTCATTCATACTTGTTTGCCTCACGTTGATACCTACCCATCATCCACTAAATGATTATTTGGTTATCTACTTATATATGATGTAGCTTGGGGCTATGAAAAGAGCATGGAGATTGGGAGTCAAAACCCTGCTTAGGTGCTTTGTTAGCCTTGTATCTTGGGTGAATGATTTTAGAGGATCACTCTCCTTCCTCATCTACATAAAGAAATAGGAACAGTGATAATCAACCTCATACATTATCATATTAAATGGGGTAAGGTATATAGCTCTTACGTAGTGCCAGTCTGTTACTTCCCTTCACTTTATTGAAGCTAGACTACTAGACTCTTACCAGGAATTTCTACTCTCATTTGTTGTTTTGTTCTTTCTCTCTCCTTGGTCTGGTAGCAGCATATTACATTGTTTTAGCCTCTCTAATAAATAATGTTTTAGTATGCCTTATTTTGGCTGTGTAACTCTAAATATTATTTAAAGTTGACTCCTTAGATTTTTTTTTGTTTTGTTGGTTCCTCACTCCCTCCCAAAGACCTAGTTTCCTCTCAACCCTCTGTGGATGGCTAACACGTCTATTTTCAGACCCTTATATTTTTCCTGGGTAGACTTACATGCTATCTTGCATGAAATTTTCTTATAAATGTTCCCATCACCTCGGATTCACCTTGCTTATGTTGGGATAACATCTTTTACCTAAAATCAGAATGACTTGTAGATATTCCCAGTTCTTATAGAGGTGTTAGCATTTCTTGGTTTCTTCCTTGTCTTTGATTCTGTCTTCATTATTGATTAAAAACTGGGAGATAGACCAATCTTGATTTTATTTTTTCCTCCTGACTCCTCGTGTTTTCAACTAGTGATAAACACCTGTTGATCTCTTAAATAAATATATCTCATCTTTTTCATTCTGCATTTTCTTTTTTTATTACCTACTCTGATATCTATATATTTTGAAGCTTTGATATAGTGAAACTTTATTGACGGCAAGATTGGAATAGAAGTTGTTTTCCCTACATGTGGCAGCTTTAGGGAAAAACTGCTGTTAAAAACAGTGTGCTTGTGCACACACGCAAGTATCTTACCTATCATGTATGTGATCTATACAGTTGACCCTTGAATAACATGGGGGTTAGGGGCACTGATCCTCTCTGAAGTTGAAAATCCACATGTAACTTACAGTTGGCTCCTTGTATCCCCAGTTCTGCCATATCCTCAGTTCTTCTGCATCCACAGATTCAACCAACCTTGGATCATGTAGTGCTGTACTATTTACTACTAAAAAAAGTCCATGTATAAGTGGACCTGAGTAGTTCAGCCTGTGTTGTTCAAGGGTAAGTTGTATGTTAATGAGCTGCACTTCAAAAACATCTCCTTCAGCAGTGGGATAATTCAAAACTAAGAACTTTGTGTTATGTTTGCAGCAGGGCTTCTCTGCATCGTTGTCATTTTGGATTGGATAATTCTTTTTTTGTGGGGATGCTGTTTTGTGCATTTTAGGATGTTTAGCAACATCCTTGGCCTCTACTCACTAGATATCAGCTGCATTCCCCCACTAAAGTTAATGACAGTGAAAAATATCTCCAGGCATTGCCACATGTTCCTTGGTGGCAGGGGCGGGGGAAGGTGGGAGAGTGCAAAATTGTTCCCAGTTCAGAACCATGGGTCTAGAGAAACCTGTATGGGCAGTAGAATTAGAGTATTTCTACATCCTGCTAGCTTCTGGAGAATGTTCATTACTAACTGAATTGCTTTGCTATACATCTAAAACTAACATTGTAAATCAACTATACTTCAATAAAAATAAAATTTAAAGAAAAGAATGTTAATTACTATACAGTGAAAAAAACTTTATAAAAGGGTAGAAAAATGTATAATTATGTACATTTTTAGACTCTCTCCTGAGAAGGAATCCTGGAATAACCATTTTAGGAAAATAAACATAAAAGTGGTGTATTGTTTTTATATGAGAGTATAACTGTGAATTTGTTGAAAAGTTGTGTATGTTTATGTACCAGCATCACTAATAATAGTTTCTAATTTCTTTTTTAGCAAGAACTTAATTGGGATGTGGTAAAATTTCAAGAGCCTCTTTTTCAGCATTTAACCTTTACTTCATTAGTTTATATTTCCCACTACTTTTGCTTCAAGAAATTTTAGGACTTGTTTTTTGGTAACTGATCACAGATACAGTTCTTTGATGCTTTTATTTTTCTTCTAAACATTTGTGGATTTCTTGAAAATATTCCTTTTCTCCCTTCCCTCCTTTTCCTCTTGTCTTCCCATAACACATCTCTCTTAAAAAAAAAATCCTTGAGCTTGTTAAGAATATTACCATATTTCAAATCCTGCAATGATCACACTATTGAAAGGACTAAACTTCTGAGTAATAGAACACTTATAGGTCTCCTATCTGTAATATTCTATACAAGCAGACTGCCAAATCCTCAGAATAATTTGTAGAGCCCTCTTGGAGTTAAACAAATAAAATATGACCTGTATATGAATTCAGGAGAGTTGAGAATATGATCTTAAAGAGCTGGTGTAAATGCTTAGTACTTATTTGCGTAAAAATGAGAGTTGTTTTTTTTTAGCGGATGAAGTGTAAAATGAATCTTACTTTATTTTTAATCTCTTTTCACAGGTAGATCATTCTAATGTGGACATTAATCAATCTTTTTCATCTGTATCACCTCCATTTGTTCCTCATAAGCCAACTAGAGAGTTGGAGTATCACTCTTCAGATCTCAGAATGTTGAGGGTGTCTCCTGACACTGTGCCAAGGACTCTCAAACATTTAACAGGTATTAGAGATGTGGGTATTGTGTCCTTATGGCGAGCTTGTTAAAAATACCTTGCTATGCTTTTTTTTTTTAACTGTTGAACTCCTGCAATAATGTTAACTTTGGATTAGGTGTATTTATAAATCCCTAGATCTTTTATTCATGAACCATTTGATTTTTCATTGCATTCTTCATGACAATGTTTAGAACTGAATTAGATGAAAGAGTCTGATATTAGAGTCAATTTGTTTCTATATTCCTTTCTGTGACTTGAAGGGAAAAGGGAATTAAATGAGCACAAGAGTGGATACAAATAAGTTTTTAGAGAGGAAACTGAGAAATTAGTTTTGAGGTAGAAAGCAAGATTGTCTGCAAAGGGACGGGGAGAGTGGTGGGAGATGAGTTAGGAGGTTTGAGGAGAGTGACTTGTTGAAGGCTTAGAATTTATGTTGAAGTGAATAGGAGATGGAACTGACCAAAGACAAGCAAAAGGAGTTGATCTGTGAACATGGGGTGTCTTTCTATTTATTTACAGCTTCTTCATTTCTTTCAACAATGTTTTGTAGTGTACAACTCCTGTACTTCTTCATTATATTAATTCCAAATATTTTAATCTTTTTGATGTTATTGTAAAAGGAAAAGTTTTCTGAATTTGACTTTCGGAATATTCATTGCTAGTGTATAGAAATACAGTTTAATTTTGTATGTTCATCTTGTAGCCTACAGTTTTGCTGAACTACTTATTATTTCTAATAATTTTTTGTGTGGTTTTCTCATATTTTTATATGTAAAAATATATAGAATATATATCTCATCAGCAATTATAGATAGTCTTACTTCTTCCTTTCTAGTATGGATGCTTTTTGTATATTTCATTTCCCCAATTGCCCTGACTAGACCCCACAGTACAATGCTGGATAGTAGTGGCAGGAGCAGACAACCTTGTCTTGTGCTGGTTTTTGTGGGAGGGTATCAAGTTTTTTATCATGTTAGCTGAAGGATTGTTGCAAATGTGCTTTATCAGGTTGAAGTCCCTTTTTATTAGTAGTTTTTAGAGTGGCAGGATGTTAATTTTTGTCAGATGCTTCTTCTGCATTTTTTATAATGTTTGTATGGTTTTTGTTCTTTATTCTAATGTTATGGTGCATTATTAATTAGTTTTCATATGTCAAGCCATCTTGCATTCCTGGTTATATATGCTACTTGGTTATGGCATATAGTCTTTTATTTATGTTGTTGGATTCATTTTACCAGTAATTTTTAAAGGAATTTTATGATTATATTCGTAATAGATACTGGGTTTTGATACGTGAGTAACACTTGTATCATAAGTTGTGCTGGGAATTCTAGTTCTGCCTTTTGGAAGAGTTTGTAAAGGATTGGTATTCATTCTTGGATAGAAGTTACTGTGGAGCTGCCTGTTCTTTGTAGAAGTTTTGGAATTACTAATCCCATCTCTTTACTGGCTAAAGTGTATTTAGATTTTATATTTCTCATGAATCAGTTTTCTTAATTTATGTTTTTCAGGGAATTTGTCCATTCCAGCTAGGTTATCTAATTTGTATAGCTGTTCATGGTATTCCCATATAATCCTTTTTATTTTGTAAGATTGATAAGAATGACCCATTTTCGTTCCTGATTTTAATATAGTTCTCTCTCATCTAGCCTAATTTTGTCACTTTTGTTGATCTTTTCAAAGAAATTTTGATTACTCCTTTTTTTCTAATCCCTGTTTTCTCTGCTTTTTAAATCTCTTTTATTTATTTCCATTTTAGTCTTTATTTTCTTTCTTCCATTTGCTTCAGTTTTAGTTTGTGCTTTTTACTGTTTCTTTTGGTGAAAGATTAGGTTCTTGATTTGAGATTTTTCTTTTCAATATAGGTATTTACATTGATACATTTCTACTTTAGCTGCGTGCCCTACGTTTTGGTTTGTTGTGTTTTTGTTTTAATTCACCTAAACTATTTCCTAATTTCTATTTTTTTCCATTGACCCCTTTGTTATTTGGAAGTGTGGTTTAATTTCCACATTTTTGAATTTTCTTTTGTTATTGATATCTCATTTAATTCCATTTTTTATTGGAGAATATGTACTTTCTAGGATTTCAGTTCTTTTAAATTTTATTGAGGCTTTTTGTTGTCCTATTGTGTTGTGTATCCTGTGGAATGTACCATTTGTGCTTGAGAAGAATCTGCATTCTGCTGTTGTTAGGTTGTATGTTCTATACATGTCTCTGAGTTCTAGTGGGTTTATAGTGTTCAAGTCTTCTGTATCCTTGTTGATCTTCTGCTAGTTTTCTCCATTTTTGAAAGTAGGGTATTGAAGTCTCCAACTATTATTGTTTAATAGTCTGTTTCTCTCTTTTCTGTCAGATTTGCTTCATTTATTTTGAGACTTTGATATTAAGTGTATTTGTGTTTATAATTGTTATATATTCCCATTGAATTGACCTTTTTGTTGTTATACATTGTTCCTCTTTAATTCTAGTAACATTTTTTTGTTTGTTTTAAAGTCTATTTTGTCTTATATCAGTATAGACACTCCAGTTGTTATGGTTGCTGCTGGTATGGCATATCTTTTTTCATCCCTTTACTTTCAGCCTACCTGTACTTTTGAACCTGAGGTGTATCTCTTGTAAACAGTTTATAGTTGTATCTTTTTTTTCTTAATCCAGGCTGATAAACTTTACCCTTTGATGTGATTAATCCATTCACATTTAATGTAATTACTGATAAGATTGAATTTACATTTGCTAGTTTACTTTTTATTTTCCATGTGTCTTATATCTTTTTTGTTCTTCAGTTCCTCCTTTACTGCTTTTTATTTTTTAATTTTATCCATTTATTTTTAATTTTTAATTATTTTTAAATGGAGGTACTAGGAATTAAACCTAGGACTTCATGCATGCTAAGCGTGTACTCTACCTCTACCACTGTACCCACCCCCCCCTTTACTGCTTTTTATTGCATTAAGTGAATATTTTTCAGTATTTTAATTTCATTAATGATTTTCCAGCTAATTTTTTATATTACATTATTAGTGGTTATTCTAGGGCATACAGAATTTCTTAATATACCAGAACATACTTCTGATTTATACTATCTTAATTCTAGTGTGATGCAGAGATTAACTCCTACATAGCTCTATTCCCTCTTCTTTTTTGTGTGTGCTATTATTGTGATGCATACTACATCTGTGTTACAAACTCAGGAATACATTGCTACATTGTTATAATTATATAGTTTTATGTATTTTCAAGAAGCTGAATTAGAGCAAGTATTTATTTATAGAGCTTGTTATAGTAATATTCTAATTTACCATTCCTTATTCTCTTTATTTGTTCCTGTGGACTTATTACCATCTAGTATTATTTTGTTGCTCCACTCTAACTTTGCTCCCATGTACCTTCTTTTCATTTTATTGTTGACTATGTTACATTTCTATATGTTACAGTCCCAATAATAATTATATATATACTGCTTTATGTAAAGTTACTTTTAAAATTATTTAAGAGAAGAAATGGAAGTATGCAAGTATGCTGTCTTTTTGTAACATAATTATCTTTACTAGCACTATTTGTTGTGTTATTAAATTAGAATTACCGCTTGATGTCATTTGCTTTCAGCCTGAAGAATTTCCTTTAGTTTTCCTTGCAAGATGAGCTTGCTATCAACAAATTCTCTCAGTCAGCTTTTGTATATCTGGGAATGTTTTTATTTCATCTTTTTGAAAGATAGTTTTGCTGCATTTTGAATTCTTGGTTAACAAAATCGTCTTCTTTCAGCAGTTTGAATATTTCTTTCCATTGTATTCACCCTTTATTGTTTTTGACGAGAAATCAGCTATTCTTACTAGTGTTCTCTTGTATGTGATTTATTTTTTATTGCTGCTTTCAGGATATACTTTGTCTTTCAGCATTTTGATGATGATGTGTTGGTGTGGATCTGTCTGTTTATCCTTCATTGAGTTCATTGGGATTCTCAGATGTGTATAGGGTAATGTTTTTCATCAAGTTTGGGAAGTTTTTGGCCATTATTTCTTTCAGTGTCCCCCATTATATATATGCCAGTGCATTTCATCTTATAGCTCTCTGAGCCTTTGTTCGTTTTTATTCTTCTTTTGCTGCCGTTCAGATTGCATCATCATGTTCACTGATTCTTCTGTCTGTCCCTATTTACTGTTGAGCCTCTAGGAAATTTTTCATTTCAGTTATAGTTTTCAAACCCAGAATTTTCATTTGTTTCTTTAATAAGTTTTGTTAGTTTATTTTCTGTTTGATGAGACATTGCCATTACCTTCTTTTAATTTTTAAGCATAATTTCCTTTTCTTCTTTGAACATATTTATAGTAACTGTTTGGAAGTCTTTGCTGGCTAAGTCCAACATGTGGGTCCCCTTAAAGGCAGTTTCTATTGCTTACTTGCTTTTTTCATGTGAATGGGTCACTTTTCTTTCTCTTTGCATGTATCAAAATTTTTTATTGTATTTTCTTGCTTCCCTCTCCCACTCTTAATGATTTAGATGTCTTCTTTTACAATTTCATGTTTATTCTGTTTGTAATTTATGGTAGTTATCACCTTTCCAGTTATAAGTGTCTCATTTTTGTAGCTTCCTGCTTCTTTTCTATTTAGAGTAGACAACATTTTTTATATAAACTGAAGATTTTAGATAATATAGTATTGCTGCTCTGGATACTGATTCCCTCTCTGGGCTGGGAATATTTGTTACTGTTTTGCTAGTCTAGTGACTGGGTTGGACAAGTTCAGCCAAGTCTGTTTCCCCTGCAGTATACATCTTCTGAATTTCCCCTCCAGAAAGTAGAGTCTTTGATATGTGTATAGCCTCCCTGACCTGTGATCTCCCTCCATCCCCTCTCCTATGACTGTGGTTTTAACAGTTCTCTTTTATTGTCTCTTTTTTCATCTCCCTATTAATCTTCTTGCTTGTTGTCCACTATTGGTAACAGCTGTTAGCCTCAACTTACTGCTAGCTAGCTGATTGCTGTATTGTTTTCAACAATTC